CACACTTACTTTCAAGTCAGAGAATTTCCTTGAAGTACCCTGGTGGAGCACAAGCCTTTAATCTGTCTTTGTCATCAAGGTGTTTGATGATGGCTATAGGTGTGTTATGGGGTGCCTGCATGGCTGTTTCATCTTCTCCCTCCCTTTGTTTTCTCTGTTCTGCCGCTTTGCGATTTTTTGTTTTCCTGTCTTTTCATTTTTGTGCTGGTTTCCAACAGTTTTGTATATCAGGTGAGCCTGTTTCATCTTCTCCTTTTCTTTTGTTCTCACTGCTGTATGCTGCTTGATGGTGACAACAGGTTTGTCATGGGCTGCATGACCAGGTCTTTGTTGCCCCTTCATTTGTCTTCTTCTTTGCCCCTTCATTCATCTTCTTCTTCTTTGTCCTCCTCCTCTTCTTCTTCTTCTTCTTCTTCTTCTTCTTCTTCTTCTTCTTCTTCTTCTTCTTCTTTAATCAGCACTTCCTTTTGTGTCTCTAATTATAACTGGTCTGTCATGGGGTGCATAACCGGCTGTTCTTCTTTTTTAAGCAGTACTTCCTTTTGTGTCTCTAATTATAGCTTTGCTGGTGGGCAACAGGTCTGTCATCGGGTGCATAACCGGCTGTTTCATCTACTTCTTTCTTCGAATGAGGAAGCTGTGACAGAAGCCGCTCGGGCTCTGGGTAACCTCTCTCGACTCCGCCAAGTAAGACCTTGTTAGTCTTCTGGTGTACGCCTGGCTTTTGTCTTAAGACGGGAAAAGAAAGATAAAAAGGGCTGGTCTTGCATTGCCTAACATGGTGTTGTTTCTTGTCATGTGTGCCCCCTTATTGCTGTAGAGTCCCTTTCCTTTCTCCTTCCATATGGTGCCATGCAGTTGCCTTTGCCATTGTCTGTTTCATGATTATATCCAGGCTCTCTATTTTCTAGAATTGTCTATGCATTGCATTGTGTTCCTTTTTTTTTCATGTTAATTATGTACCCAGGTACCTCGGGGATATGTGTTAAACCACCACCATGGTCCACTAACCTTTACCACATTCTTTGGAGGCCGGCGGAGGACGGGCGCCACCGGACCAAAAAGGCTGGCAGCACCAGCCAAAAAGAAACAGAAAAGGCTGCACTGGCGCTTGGGACAAAGCTCGGCATGCAGTTCTACTCCACCTTGGCAAAAAAAGGCTCGGAGGTAGTGGTGGTTAAAAATAAAAAAAATAAAAATCCATACCCAGGTAGCAGTGGCAGATGTATAACAGGCCCTGACCTGTTCGGGCTTCAAAACCATTATTTGGTCATCAGGGTGCACAAAATCGAAAGTTTTCAAAATTCTTTAAAACAATCTGGACATGAAAGTTTGTTGTGTACGCAGAAAAGACAAAAAGTATAGTGGTGTATCTTTCCAAGTTCTAACGGCAGATTCATTCTCATTTAGCACATTTCGAGAGTAGTGGAGAGAGGCCCTTTGGCTGAGGGTCATTCCAGAGTTCCTCACATTTTTAAACCACCAGTCGCAGGTGGCCGGTTTTCTCCCGAAGTATGTATCAAACCGGCCACGGGGAGGCCATTATATCGAAAGCCCGGCCTTTGCCTGTACGGGCCCAAGCTTCAGAGGAAGGGTTTTGGGACTGGTGGTTTAGACGACTGTTACCCCTTTGTCTCTCTTTGCTAAGGTGGATTCACCCTGTGCGCCAAGCATTGTCGAAACGCCATCGTGGCATTTTTTTCCCCTGCCGGCTGGCGCCACCAGCCATTTTGGTCCGCTAGCACTGTTCTTTCGAAGTCTTCGGAATGTTACATTTTCGATTCTCAACGTTCATTGGGAAAGGTAGTGGTAGTGTAAGGTGAAACACGAAAAGAAGAGAAAGTAAATTCAGTACAACGCAGCCCTTTAAAACTGTTCGTGGACCCAAGCTTCTTTTCTCCATTTCCTATTTTTGCACGGTCTTAAACCACCAGTACTTGAGGGATGTATGGCCCTGCCTCCACCCACCGGTTAAATTCAAATGCATGCAGAGGTCCGCAGAGGATGAAGGAAAGGTCCCAAGTACCAGTGGTTTCAGAAATCCAAACCTGTGTAGCAATTTGCATGGCGCGGCCAGCCTTTTTCTGGCTCCGACGCTGAGCCTTTCCACGGCCCCATATTAACCGGAAGGGTTCTTTTCAATGGCGGGGTCGTCCACTGGCAGTTCAATATTCCAAAAGAAACATGAAAGGATTTCACGTTGCAGATACCTGGAAGTCCAGCCCAGGAACCCCAAAGTTCCGAAAGCTTCGAAGTCCCAAGTCCCAGTGTCCAAGTAGTGTAGGTCCGTTAGGCCAGCTTAGGGGTTTGTAGGCCTAAGTCGGGCCAACATCCGGAAAGGTTCGGGTACCCGACAGGAAACTCCAAGTCCAGAGTCAGTCCAGTCCGGTCCCAAGTCCACCAAAAATGCAGCAAGTCCCAGGAAAGCTCGGAAGTTTCCGGACCGACGAAATGATTGCAGCAGACGGGCCGCGGCTGCCCGGTACCGGTCCAAAGCAGGCCAAACCACGACAAGTTCTATATTTAGCTGCTACAGTGCAGCGGCTCACCAGTTGTTCATTTTTGAAGTTGCGGAAGCGCCACTGCTGCTTGTGTGACCAAGCGACTTGGAGAAGACAACGCTCGAAGAAGAAGGGAGAATTGACGACAACCATAGCTAGGGTAGTGATAGGGAGGCAGGGCAGCCATAGCCGCCAAGGTCCGAGTCTGAACTAAGCGGGTGTATTCAAGGCACGATCCAAGGAGAGAGAGAGAGAGAGAGAGAGAGAGAGAGAGAGAGAGAGAGAGAGAGAGAGAGAGAGAGAGAGAGAGAGAGAGAGAGAGAGAGA